ATTGAATATCTTGTCAAATAGAAGGGCTATAGGCTGGAGTCAAACTAGTAGGTGCATGAGCATGACATGAATGCTGATATGATTATTTACAACCATGAATTATCTCTTAATTAAGCTATCAGAATGATGATCTTAAGGAGAGGATAATATTATGATTTTCCTATCTTTTCTATATCTTATCTTATCAGATGTCTATCTTATCACCAGATGCTGAGGATTGTGAAATTGTTGCTATATAAGACAATAAACATGATAGGTGAGTTATGATAATGACAGTCAAGACCATCTTAATAACAAACAATACCCATTTGCTTTATATCTGATGACCAAACACTATAGCATTGCAATACAGAGAGATATAATAGCACTAGAACTATATTTATCAATACCAGATATATATATAAGTAGGACAGCTCTCACTGATATACCCTAGCTTTGAGCTAAAGTTTTATTTACACTACTTCTCTCTCTTGAGCTTACTATTGGAATGCCTTGATACACAGACTCAAAAACACATAAGTGGACTTTAGCATGATTGTATGAATGTGATACAATGCTAGTTTATCATGTGTTACAGTCATGTGTCAAGCAGATCTAACAATTAGCTCAAAGCTTTCTATATCTTTTTTTTTATGCATATTAGAGGTGAAGAAAACTGAATGCTATCAACTGCTGATCTCACCATCAACTTCTTCAAGCTCTTGAGCACTATTATCAGCATCCTGCTTGAGCTTTATGCTTTTGCTCTTCTCTGCTGAGAAAACCAGTCTGTTATCAGTCAGATTCTCTGATATTATGTCTTTTTAGTAAATCTCTTCTGCACCATCTATTGCCTGGACATCTCCAAACTCTCTCTTTACAACATTCTCTGAGATATTCTAGAACTCAGAAACCTTTCATCTCTCTTACCTCTTAGACCAGCAGGCACTAAAATCCCCTATGAGTCTCTGAACTCAGAAATCTCTCTCAGATCTATACTTGAGACAGCCTCTGAAGATGAGACTGTAGGAACTGGTACAGAGATATCAGAAGTATTGTCCATAATATGGCAAAACTGCTGATTCACAGTCTCTTGAAACCCATTTCCAGAACAGTATGATATCCAGCTTGAAGGTTTCATTAGTGATCTCTCAGAAGACTTCTGAGTCACTCCTGCTAGCAGCTTCATCACTGCCCTCTCTGAGTCTGACTCATTCAGCAATAATTCAACATTGACAATGAAGCCTCTGATGACAGCTCTTCCTCTGACTTTCTTTGAAGAAGAGATAGGCAAGGAGTGGAATGAAGAAACTATATAGAAGGAGATCTAACAGATGTTTAAAGAAGAATTTTTGGAAATATATTAGGACAGGATATAAGCACTCTCCATGGACATTGCATGGAGAGTGACTTCCATGGGAAGAAGATATTTAATTGCTGATATCATTGAATATATAACTACTTTGCAATACTATGCAACTGAACAAGTAATATACATCTTCAATAAATGATACCCTGACAACACTAAGACTAAGTTGCTGCCCTATTTACTTGCATCAGAATCCTAACTGATACTGGAGATATCATCTGTTCTGCTAAAACAGGCTATATACACAGCCTTCTCAGTCTGATCAGCAATCAGGACTATTTTCTCACACTGATTGACTCTAACTATCCAACACTCATATCTGTTATGATTTTTCCATTTTCTTTTCTTTTTTCTTCAGGAATGACCCCTATCTTTGCTTAGTCAGGGTATTTAGGCCAGCGCTTAGGACTGTGGGAATGCTTAGCTCAGCACCCAGCTGGTCACTCTCCTGTTATGCTGCTGTGTGCTGTGAAGGGAGAGACAATGTTCCTTTTGTCCTTCAATTGCAGTGCAGCAGTAACAGCACAACAGCAAGACAACAGCTTTTGTGGAGAGCCTAGCAACAGCAGGGGTAACAGCTCTACAACAGATGATATCTTTTGTGAACAGTTATTAATAGCCAGATAACAGAACAGTATTTAAGCAGTTTAGTTCTCGCTGTAATACCCCAGTCTCGAACTAAAGTTTATTCTTCACCATCTACTCTTGAGCTCAAGCTTCTTGCCATGCCTTGAACCATGATAGTCACATGGGATTTGGGCTTAACAATATCAGTATCTGTGGCCAAACACCTATGGGAGCTGACTGTTTGCTGGCCAAAATGAACTAATGTCTTCAGATGCTAGTGAGTCAAAACTGCTAGCACCAGCTGATGATAATGATAAGGACAACCTCTGAGTCAGTAACTTTAAAATTATCAATAGAATCAAGATGAAGAAAGGAATGTTAGCAGCAATTGGAGGAATAGAGAACCTGTTATTAGTGGTATGACTATGGAACTTATATACCTCTACAGGTATTCTGGTAAGTTCTACTGTTTTATAATTGTAGCTAAGCAGATAATATAGAATCTTCAAGCATCAGTATGACTTTTGCATGTATGAGTAAGGCCTGTTCACTGGTTCAATATTAGTGCATTGGCTTATTTGGCTAACACTCTCCCTTGAGCCAAAATCATTCCAAGCTTCTGAACAAGAGGTTGAAATTTAAATGAGGCCAGTGCCTTGATGAGAATGTCAGCTGTCATCTCATTCACAGGGTAATAGATGATATTGAGTATTTCTGCCTGTATTTTGTTATAGATAAAATGATACTATATATCAATATGTTTGGTTTGTGCATAGAATTGACCAAGGTCTGTATGTGCTAGGGAGATTGCTGATTGATTGTCACTGTAAATTGTGAGAGAAAATGTAACTATGCTGAATATTTCTGAGATAAAGGCATAGAACCAAAGTGTCTCCTTGGCTGTGGAGGTCATTGCAATATACTTGACTTTAGTAGTTGATAAAGCAACAATTTCTTGCTGCTTTGATGATCATGATACAGCAGCACTATTCAAGATGAATGCATAGTCTGATATAGCTTTTTTTGTTTCAAGTGACATTCTATCAGCATCACCAAAGATGTCAAGGCCTAAAGTCTCATCTGATGCACCATAAGTCAGGTTCAGAGTCTGAGTGCCTTTCAGATATTGAAGTACTTGTTTTGCTGCATTCCAGTGTAGATGACTAAGATTATTGACAAAATGTGAGAGTATACAGACTGTGAATGCTAAGTCTGAGCATGTGGCTGTAGCAAGCTAGACAAGTCCTCCAACCAGTTTCTGGTATGGAACATCTTGCATGTCATCAATAGCTTTATGATTGGATAGAGTAGAGTATTATTTGCATGAGAGCTGGGTGGATGGATCAAAGAGAATAGAAACAGCTTTATATTCTGTCATATGGAATTTTTGTAGAAGAGAATCAATGTAAGTGGTCTGTGAGAGTGCTAAAGTGTGTTTCTTTCTGTCTCATGTGATCTCCATACTCAGTAGCCAGCTGATCAGTCTAAGCATTGTGATTTTAAAGATGCAACCAATTTCTTCTTGTATTTTATTGATTAGTGTAGGTGAGTTACTGGTAATAGTGCTATGATCAATGTGGATAGTAATAAATATGAAATCATGCTCTTGATTAAAATAATAGACTGCATGATCTGATTTGAGAGAGTAGACACCTAGCATGGCAAGTGTTGATGTTAGCTTCTTATACCATTTACAGCTAGATTGTTTAAGTTCATATATTGTGCATCATAGATATATGACATCATTTGAGTTTTCATTAGTGTAATAAGATGGCTGTTTCATGAAAATCTTTTTATCAGCTGAGAACTCAAACACTTTGATGTCTCAATCAAAACATGCAGCAAGTGAGAGAATAATATAGAGTGAGGATAGTTTTGCTGTGAGTGAAAATATCTCAAAGTAATCTACTTCTTGGACTTGAGTGAATTCTCATGCAACAAAATGAGCCTTGTATTTGTTAATTTCTCTATTAGCTCTTTGCTTAATTTGTAATGCTCATTTTGATCTGATGATATTGTGTCCAATTGGCCTTGGCATCAGTCTATTATCAAATGTGCCTGTTCTCTTTATTACTTTCATCTCAATGTCCATAGCCTGCTTGAACAGTGGCCAGTCTTTTCTCATCATTTCTTCTTTTATACTTGGTTCATCAGACAGGTCTCCTCTGGCTGAATATGCATACTCCATAATATTTGAGTTAGTGACTGACTCAGTCTCAGAAAAATGAGCAGCTCAATGTGTCCAAGTACCTTCAATAATGTTTTTCACAGTAATTTTACTTGAAATTTCTTATGCTGCAATCAGTTTAGTTGGATTTAGTGTTGGGCTTAATAGTGAGATGTCTGGTGGTATAGTGAGTGGAGAACCTGATAGAGAAAGTGATATTTGTTTAGACAATGCAGGTGTGTGCTGAATGTTTTTGGTTTTTTTTTAATCACTAACTTCTTCATTCTCCCCCTCATTTAGCACTCTATGTATCCCTCCTTCACTTCTGCATGTTTCTGGGAATTTGATGCTATATTTGACATGTATGGTACAACTATTTAGATAATAGATCTGATGTCTATTACTTTCTTAGTCAAAATCAAGCCACTGACTCTTACAAGCATATCCTTCAAGCTTTGAACTATCTCCAACATGTACTCAGATCTTGCAGCCCCATTCTTAGATGTTCTGTAAGTCTGGTTTCAATTTATGGAACACTTTGTATAGTGTATAGTCACTAATAGCCTTTGATGATATCTGATTCTTTAATCAAATAGCATGCTTCAGTGCTTCACTCCACAAGTTATTTGGTAGTCCTGCAGCATAAAGCATAGCTCAGACCTTTTCAAGAAGCATTCAATTGAGTCTCTCAGTGACTCCATTGTGCTCAGATGTATCATAGACTATGAAGCAACACTGGATTTCTTTCTCAGCTATGCAGTCATTGAATTCATGACTTTTGTACTCTCCTCCTTCATCTGAATGTAATGTTTTTATCTTGATACCATGTGTCTTATCCTATCTCACCTCAAGATCCTTAAATGACTGTAATGTTTCCTTTTTTGAGTGGAATAGCATGACTACAGAATAATGTAATGTATTATCTGTAAATGTGACATAGTATTTTTTATGCTGGAGTGTCTCAATTATCACTGGTCCCCATATATCACTGTGGACTTGATCATCTACTCTCTCTGATGCATTATTTTCTCTGGTCTTAGACATCACTTTTCTCATTATTCTACCATGAAGATATAATGGGTATTGCTCCTTTGAGGTAGAAATTCCTTTATCAAGTTTTAGACCATCAACTAATTGATCCTTGATAAGCTTTTTTGCTGTATTGATAGAGAGATGACCTATCAAACAATGTAGTTCATTCAGTGTGATAATATATGGTCCATCATCAATATGATAGGTTTCTAGGTGGGATGTCTGTACATAAAGTCTATATAGCCCATTGATATAAGGTATTAATCTGATTTGATGATGCTTCTTATTAAAAATATGGCACTTTTTATCTTTAAAGTCAAGAGAATATTCTGCCTGAGTGATATGGCTAACAGAAAGTAGTGTAACTCCAAGGTTAGATGCATAGAGTATATCATTAACAAGAGCCTTTGTTGTCTGATTCTTTCCATTAGGAATTGTGATACACATGTCACCCTTTCTGAGTGCTTTGAACTTCTTCTTATCTGCTGCTATTATTTCTTGAGGCTTGATAGCCATATAGTTCATCAGCCAATAGTGTGATAGTGTCATATGCTGTGTAGCACTGAAGTCAAAGATATTGATTTCATACTGATGTTCTGAGTCAGCAGCAGCTGTCACAAAATTCCCAGAAGTCAGTGAGGTTATTTCTTCTATAAGTTCTGATGTACTGATATCTAATTTATCAGTTTCATTGTCATCCTCTTCTTCACTGTTGCTGACATTCTGGAGTGCTAGTAGATCTGAGAAGTTATCTTCTTCTTTTTCTTCCTCTGCAAACCATGCAGCATCAAATTTCTTATCTGTCTTTGCTGAATTTGTCTGTCTATGCCCCTTTCTCAGTCCTTGTCCTTCTTTTCCTTCTTCCTTTGCCCAACAATCTCTCACCATATGTTTCTTCTGATGGCAGTTATAACACTCCACTGATTTCTTTGACTTTTTTCCACTGTTCCCACTATAGAATGTGGCTTCTTTCTCACTCTTTTCTGACCTGACCTTTCATTGGTCTGCTTTGTCACTGATTCCCTGTAGCATTATGTCAAGATCAAGAGTCTTACTAAGAAGTGTGGATATGCCTATAAACACAGAGAGATATGTTTCAAATAAGGCAGAAAGTGATCTTAAGACTATTGTAACAAAGTTATCATTATCTGAGTCAGCTTTCATTGTGATGAGATTCTTGCATATAGATTGTAGCTTTGTTAGATGAGTTTTCATATCACCTTCTTCTGTGCACTGCTCATCCTGGAGCTTTTGGTGCAGATTAACTGTGACCATCTTTGATTTCTTCTCATACTCTGACTTCATCTTCTCCCACATCACTTTTGTCATTGCTTCACCCTTCACCTTTAAGAATAATGAATCCAAGATGACTGAGATGATTCCCTGTTTGATTACAGCCTGCTCAGACTTTCAAATCTGACACTTTTTTGCATATTTGTTTATCACCTTTGTCCTATCTGCTGTGGGGTTCTTGGAGTCTACCATGGCAGATGAGGTCAGTTCAGCCACAATTGCAATGTCCTTGAAATGGTCACTCAGACCAGCAGCATCAATAGCAAAACAAAAACAGTCATAAAAGAAGATCCAGTTTATGCTATTGGCCTTGCATGTAGGGAGTTTTGCAAAGTACTTACCAAGTTTTACAGTGGATGAGAAAGTGTTGGTGGACATATTAGAGTGATTGTGAGTATATGCAAGATGAGTTTGTTATCATTAAGATTTAATTATGATTGAGACCTATAACCTGTTAGCAGCAATAAGGAAATGGAGAGATAAAGAATCTGTTATTAGTGGTACAACTACAAAACTTATATATCTCTACAGGTATTCTAGTAAGTTCTACTACTATTCTATAATTGTAGCTAAGTGAATAATATAGAATCTTCAAGCATCAACATGACTTTTGCATGTATGGGTAAGGCCTGTTCACTAGTTTAATATTAGTGCATTGGCTTGTTCAGCTAATAAGAGATAGAGGATAGAAGCCTGATTGCTGATGACTATTCTTTACACTCTCTTTCTGAACCTTCAGCCTCCTGATGCTATCTGCTATTCAGTGAGTATCCTAACCTAATGCTCACTCTTACTGCAGATGCTCCTTTGATCTAGTGCAAACTAGAGTTGATGAGAAAATCCCACTCTTTCAAAGGAATTTCTGATGATATAGATCAATTCCTCACTGACTGTGAGGTATATTTTCAGGTACATGCTATATATCTTACTGTTGATACCTATCATATGATCTTTGCTGCTTTATATTTTGAAGACAAGGCAAAGGACTGGTGGATCATGCAGCTGGCTGACTTGTATTTTACAACTAAGAGACACTATCAACTGCTGTTCTAGTCAGACTTTAAAGTAGCCATTTGACATAAATTCATAGATCTCACTATATAAAACATTCACAAGACCAAGATGAAGGAGTTGTGTCTGAGTGACAAGATAGCCAGCAAATACTTTAGAGAGCTTGAATGACTTGCTAAACTTGCTGGTCTGCATGATAATATTTCTGAGACTAGATATCTGGTCAAAGCCCTCAAGATTGGGGTACTCTCTTTCTATATGAAAATCATCTCTAACATCACCATTAATATGCCCAAGAGATATAAGAAATAGAAGAAGCAGATCATAATCATGAACCAGAAATGATAGTGACAGAAGGTAGTAACCAACCTATATCTATCACATGATAAGAAGCTCAGAGGAGCCAACAAGAGAGGAGGTCAGCCACAGCTGACCAAGAGAGGAACACTCAGCTCTTATAGTGAGAAGAAGATCAATACCAGAACAGTCTACATGAGACAAAGAAAGTCTATAAATATTAACAGAATAAAGAAGAAAGAAAAGTGCTTTAACTGCAGAGAGAAAGAACACCTATTCAGGAACTGCCTAAAGAAGAAGAGAACATATGAAGACATATAGGCACAGATCACAGAACTGCAGAAGAAAGCAGATGCCATTGAGAAGAATGGCAAGAAAACAAAGATAAAAAAGGTAAAAGATAGGACTGACAAGTGAGTGATTTCACTTAGTCTGCTAAAGAACTTAATGGTGTGTTTCCAGTTACCACTGGATGGACTTATGGTAGCTCTATAGATATGAAGTATTTATATATGCATTCAAATATACCTGCTTCCACTATCCTGAACACACTGAAAGAATCACTTAAGGAGAGAACTCAATTGTCCATAGGCTGAACAAGAAGAGGGGTCTCCACTAGATGACTCAAACTATTTAACACTAAGTGGACTTGGCATGTCATTTATGACACTAATACAGAAAAAGAAGTAAAAGCAGTGCTCAAAAACTGGATACACAAGATATAAGCTAAAGAAGTGATTAATAAGATGATAGAAGGAATGAGAAAGATCAAAAGGAACCGAGTATTGGAATGGCTGAGTGAACTTAAAAAGCCTTAAAGATATATTCAGTGGCAGAAGATGACTAGAAGCCTCCATACCAGTATACAATGCTGACAGAACCCAAAACCAAGCCAGATCAATTACCAAGTTCATCAAGCTCTAATTAATAATAGAAGACCATACAGAACATATTGATCTGGCAGTCACAGATTTGAGAACTAAAGAAATCTTCCTCAGGCATGACTGAGTGATATAATACAATCTGCTCATCAACTGGAAGACTGGCTAGATTATCTTTATCTGATACTACTGCTGGAAAACCCCTTTCATCTTATTAGACAAAGATAAAGATGACCAGTGAGATGAGGAGATGAAAGAAGGAGATACTATTCTTGCAGTTAACATAGAACAAGCCATTCACATGTAGGCTATACACTATACAAATAATCTGGCTGCAAATGCTAATAAAAGAAAGAAAACCAAGATATTCAAAGAAATGATACTAGAATGGGCTCAAGATTTTCATGACCTCTTCAATAAGAAGAACTTTGATGAACTCCCTAACCCTAAACTATGAGACCATGCAATTGAACTCATTCTCAATGCCAATACCAACCTTAATTGCAAGATCTATTCTCTTGATCACTATAAGCAATAGAAATTTGATAAGTTTCTGGATGAGAATCTATTCAGTAGACATATCTGATTCTCTAAATCACTGATGGCACCTTCCTTCTTTTTTATAAAAAAAAGAAATAGAAAGCTGCAACTGATTCAGGATTACTAAAAACTCAATAAAATAATAATCAAGAACTAGTATGCTCTGCTCCTTATTTCTGAACTAATAGATAAATTGCATAGTGCATGGTATTATACCAAACTGAATGTATGATGAGAGTATAATAATGTTCAGATCAAAGAGGAAGATAAATGGAAAGCAGCTTTTCAAACTAATCAAAGACTGTTTAAACTGATAGTGATATTTTTTGGACTCACCAACTCATCAGCAACCTTCCAGTGGATGATGAATGACATCTTCAAGAATCTTATCATTATGAAGAAAGTCACTATATACTTTGATGATATCCTAATTATGTCTGGAGATTGAGAGAAGCACTACCATCTTATCTGACAAGTCCTTGTGCTGATGAGAAAGCACAAGCTGTTCTTTAAGGCAGAGAAATAAAAGTTTGAGATGCTGGAAATAGAGTATCTCAGCATCATCATCAGTAAAGGAAGCATCTATATGGATTCAGTCAAGGTTCAGAAGGTGATAGAATGGCTGACTCTAACAAAAAAGAAGTTACAATCATTTCTGAGGTTCACCAATTTTTACCAATAATTCATCAAGGACTACAGTCAGATTATATGACTCATGATCCAACTGACTGGAAATATCTCTTGGATGTGAGGGAGAGATGCAAACAGATGCCTTTCAATAGCTGAAGAAGCAATTAGCAAAGGACATGATATTAGCCATTCCAGCAAGAGAAGAGAAGTTCCATGTGGAGATGGACTTAAGTGATGACATCACTAGAGCAGTACTCTCATAGGAACAGGAAGAGAAATAGTGATCTGTCACTTTTATCTCCAAGATGCTCATGACTACAGAAAGAAATTACAAGATCTATAATAAGAAGCTCTTTGCCATCATGCTTGCTCTGACCAAGTGATGATACTATCTGATAAGTGCAGCACAATGGTTCAAGATTTAGATAGATCATCAGAACCTTCAATATTTCTGACTCTCACAGAAACTAAATCAGTAACAGGCATGCTGGATCATCAAACTGATAGAATATGACTTCTCACTTCAATATAAAATAAAAGCCATAAATAGAAAGATGGATTTATTTAGCTGACAAGTGGATCATAATCAGAGAAAGGATGATAATAGCAAAATAGTTGTGCTTAAGGCTAAGCACTTTAGAGCAATAATCATGCCAACAAAGGAGGAAGCTCATGAGTACATTAAAAGTGCTATTCAATAGATCAAGCTATGAGATCAGAAGGTGGCTCTATTGATCAATCATGACCAAGAGATGATCAAAGAGAGAGATCTGATTTACTATGACAATCAGATTTATATACTCTGGAATCATACTCTCTGAGGAGATATCATTGCTTGGTCACATGACTATATCACTGCAGAGCATTCTGGAATTGTGAAGATCATAAAATTAGTATTGTGAGAATATTAGTGGCCAAAGCTGAGGAGAGATATTGAAAACTATGTGAAGATCTATGAAACCTACTAACACATCAAGTCAAGCACTTAGGTGAAAGCAGCCCTACTCCACCTGAATAAGATACCAAGTGCACTATAGATGTATATATCTATAGATATAGTCACCAGCCTTCCTAAATGCTAAGGCTATAATGCTATCATTATCAGTTGACCACTTCTCAAAGGCTATCATACTGGTTATGTGCTTGATAGAGTTATCATCAGAGAGATAGATGAAGATTCTATGAGATGAGATGTATACCAAGTATGGCATACCCCAAGTGATAATTTCAGATCAAAGATCACAGTTCATCTCTAAGTTCATGATAGACCTTTACTATTTTCTCCAGATTCAAAGCAACACCTTAACTGCTTATCATTCACAGACAGATAGGCAAATAGAGTGAGTCTATCAAGAGATCAAGAAATACCTCTAGATGTTTATCAATTATTGATAGAATAACTGGACTGGCTGGCTTCCACTCACAGTCTTCTAACACAATAACTGAGTACACTCTGCAATGAGCAAAACACCATTCTTTATCAACTATAAATGATATTTTCATATTGTCAGCTTGTTTCAATACTTTGCTATGACCCCTGTTTTTGTGTCATTTGTAGATCAGATGACCAAAGTCTATAATGAGACAAAGTCTGCTCTCAGAAAGGCTGTCACTGCAATGAAACATCAGTATGACAAGTTCTGTTGCTCTGTCATCCAATATGCAGTTGAGGATCAAGTATGATTGGACACAACTCACCTACATCTCCTACATCCAAAGAAGAAACTCACTGACAAACACATCAGACTCTTCACTACT